CGCAAAGACTTTGGCGGAATATAAAGGGTGAATAGAAGCAGTTATGTCTTCAATTCCATAAAAGTTCCTTGTGAAATCAGGTGACGCAATTCCTGGCCGGCTTGAGAAGCTAGTGGCGAAATTGTGTGCCTTTATCTAATTTTAAATAGAACCTTATGCTAAAAACTTTCCTGTCGTATCCTTTCTTATTTAAAAAAAATATATAGTTAGTAAATAAAGTATAAGTATTTTAAAATAAGACGTTACGTGACAAGTAATTCAAAAACCACTTATGAAAGTTACGAAAAAGAACCAGAGCCTTTACTGGATGAGGTACGATCAGCAATATACAGTCTGAAGAAAGGAAAGTCACCAGGTTGCGACGAAATACCAGCAGAACTAATTCAAGCAGGAGGAGAGGTCAGCGCCCGAGTCTATAATGCAATTTGCACGAAGATCTGGAACAGCGGCATTTGGCCAACGCGTGGGAAAAAAAAACAATCTATATCCCTCTCCCAAAGAAAGGAAATCTAAAACTATGCTCCAACTACCGTACCATCGCATTAATAAGTCATGCTAGCAAACTCCTCTTACGAATTATCATGAAGATGATTGAAAGGAAATTACAATATGAGCTACATGAAGCATAAGCGGGTTTCACACAGGGTAGAGGAACTAGGGATGACATCTTTAATTTGAGAATAATTTTTGAAAAATGCAGCGAATACAACGTAGATTTTCATGCTTGTTTTATTGATGATTTGATTTGATTTAAGAACCGACATCACAGCACTCGGGGCATTCCCATAAGCGCTCCGTCCCCATCTTCAGCAGCCAGCGGAGAGTTCCGATACTAATGGTGTTAGTGGCATTCTGATTAAACGTCCGTCTTGCCTTTCCTCTGAGCCTCGAGCATCTGCCAGAACCTCTTGTCACTCCCCGCTGTATCAATCTCACCAGACTGTGGTGATCCATCTGCTTCTCCGAACTGTACACGCTCTCCCACAAGGCACTAACCAGGTCTGCCTTATCGTGTATCAGTATTCCACCAAGTTGTGCAGAGCTATCCAGTCTGTCCGTCTGTTCATTTCCCAAAACATTGGCGTGCCTACGGTGAAAAAATCCAGACAATACTTCTCACCCGTGACCTCCGCAGCGAATCATGCCACTTTGCCCGAAGCATACCAGTTCTGATCTTCCTCAGCATGCTTTCTGAATCAGTTACAATCACGATGTGTGTGTGTGTGTGTGTCGTGTTTTCTAGCCAGCAGAAAACTGCAGTGACCGCCTCCACCTCCATTCTTAAGCTGGATGTTGTGGTATCATATGCTAGGCTCTCCTGAACCAAACGTCGACCATTAACTTTTGCTACGAAGCCCCAAGCACTTCTTTTGCCTCTTGACACTGAACCGTCTGTGTAAATGATCAAATCCTCTGAGCGAGCATTATCTTGAATTAACTACTGAATTTCCACCGCTGAGGCACCTGCTGGCCAATATCTACATTCCCGGCTCAGCGTGATTATGACTCTACACAAGTCTGACTGTTCAGGTGACACTTTGACCCACTCCTCTCCTCGCCTAATGTTCTCAAGGATGCAAACCTGCCTGATTGTGTCTTCTGCCTGAGCCATCCATGACCTCCCTCCTATCAGCCACTGACCCTTAACTGCACCCAGAGCTTCATGCAGAGGGTGGTCTGTGTCTGCAGCTACCCTGAGATATGACTTCGCCTTCAGCACCTTGTGCCTACCTGCAACCGTCGCAAACCAAGGATGCTTGTTTCATTGATTATAGCAAGGCATTTGATTGTGTCCAACATCAGAAACTGTGGACTGTTATGAGAAGTATGGGGTTTCCATCGCATTTAGTGCTTTCAATTGAAAATCTTTATCATGAATAACAAGCAGTCATCAGAGCAGCTGGTGAAACATCGGATTGGTTCGAGGCGCAAAAGGGAATGAGGCAGGGGTGCATTCTCTCACCATACCTATTCAATGTATACGCAGAAAATATAATGAGAAATGTCAAAAATTACCAGACTTGTGATAGTTATGATCCGCTGAAAATTGGTGGTCACCCTATACCGGAACTTCGCTACACTGATGACACAGTCCTCCTTTCGAACAGCGTAAAGGGAATATAAAATTTAATATTGTCTGTCCAAAAGCACAGTGATAATCAAAATCTGTTCTTGAATTTAAAGAAAACGAAAATAATGTCCACAGATAAAACTGGCTGCCACCCAAAAATAACAATAAATGATGATGAAATTGAACATATCACAAACTTTGAAAATCTAGGCTCTATAATAAATAGCAATGGAGACTGTTTGACAGAAATTAAAAGGAGGAAGGCCATAGCAACGCAAAGATTAAACAGACTTAAAAGTCTTTGGTTAAGCACCAACAAGGAGATCAAAATAAGAATTTTGAGAGCATGCATCTTCCCTGTAGCAACATCCGGATGTGAATCGTGGACTATCTCCCATTCCTTAAGAAAGAGAACAGGGGCTTTTGAGCTGAAATGCTATAAAAAGATTCTCAGAATATCTTGGACAAAGAAGAGTAGAAATACTGACATCTTTAAAGATCTGAACATCAAGGAAGATTGGTTAATAAACAGCATCCTGTATCAGAAGCTGAAATATTTTGGTCATATCAAGCGCCACGACGGATTGGGAAAAATTATAGCAGAAGGCATGGTACCAGGAAGTCAGGGCAGGGGCTGAACGACACGAAGATGGGCACATGATATAAGTGACTCCTTGAGTATGAAAGTACATGAGGCGGGAGAGCTGGCGAGAGACCGAGTTTCTTTAAGACAGACCCCGATGATAGCGACGTTCTGCAAAGGACCTGCTACATGATGATGAGTTACGTGTCAACATCTTTTCCTTACCCCTTACTTGATTCACTGAAATATGTTTAGTGCATATCGAAAGCTCGTGAGGCATACCACACGTATGACAGGCAATGTCAACCAAGTACGTTAAATGGACGTGTTTAGGGGGGGGGGGGGGGGCTATAGGAATAAACGAATACATATCCTCGTCATCATGCGCTCTACTGATAAACTTATATGTAACCCAGTAATAACTCTTAGGAGTTGTACTGGTATAGTTGATCAACTCACTGCTTTTACTTACGTTTTGTCTTGTTTTGTTTTCAACTTCCGGCGCTGATTTTTCAAATGATTCTTTAACATTTTTCACCCCCAGATTTATGTACATGATAATTGAAGTACTGGTACGTGTGAGTGAGTGTGGCGTATGTTTGTGTATGTGTGCGTGCCTGTGTGCGTGTACGTATTATACTTAGTTGAGTTAATAATACTGTAATTTTGTTCCATGCTGTCCAGATTTTTCCCATTTCTACGAAATTTATCATCATAATGTAATTAGTGGCTTAGCTTTAAGTGAGGTTTTATTTTTTATTCCCTTCTTCTGCATTGCAAGGCTTGATTTAATCCTTTACCTATCTGCAATAAAAGATGGTTGAGTTTAAATACGTTGTGTGATCTGCCTTTTTATTTCGACCTAAGTATTTTGACTTTTATTACTGTCTTGAGTTTTCTCATGTCTCAATATGTAACACACACAGTGAACAAATTTTAAAACAAGTCATTACTTTTTACATTATTTATTCTTCAAGACATGCAGGCAAGCATTGTTAGAAATGGCGTAAGCCAACATAGATGTAAGGCGGAAACATCCTGTTAGGGACTGTTAAAAAAATATATATATATATAATATAGACAGGGTTAAGAGAGAAAGAATTAACAGAGAAAGAGATCACTGAAGGCTACTGAAAGACTCTTGTGCTGTTCCGGAGGAAAAATGTCATCTAATTAGCAGGACAAATTCTGCATGTCGAAAAACTGTTAGATGTTTGTATCTAAATGAAGATAATTTGTTGACGTATATACGGTTATTGCAAGGTAAGTGCAATGCTAAAAGATCACTGATGTTTATTAAATATCACGTGAGAGAGAGAGAGAGAGAGAGAGAGAGAGAGAGAGAGAGAGAGAGAGAGAGAGAGAGAGAGAGAGAGAGAGGGAAGAGAGAAGGAAAGAGAGAGAAAGTGAGAGAGGAGAGTTTTTTGTTAGTTGTAAAGGACATAAATATTAATGAGATAAATGAAATACAAATAAAAGATTTAAATACTAGTGATTACCTAGAAAGAATGTCATAAAAATGGCACAATCGTCTTCTTTTTTTCTACTACTACTACTAATAATAATAATATAATAATAATAATAATAATAATAATAATAATAATAATAATAATAATACAACTACTTCTTCTTCTTCTGCCTTTCTATCCCCCAATGGAGCATAGGCCCTCAACCAACTCACGCCAAGTCGTACTACAACTACTACTACTACTATTACTTCTTCCTCTTCCTCCGCTTAAGATTTTGTAGTTTATCTTCATTTCTTTGAAGCTGTTATGTATGCAGTTGTTCCATCTTGCATGGGCCTCCTTTTTTTCTGGGTTTATGATATGCTCTTATCGGGGTTCACAATGGCAGTAATGCCAAGGTATTTGTGCCATATGACAAAACTGATATGTTGCTGTTGAATAAATTATATGACTGGTTTCAGTCCTAGATTTCTTATAACTTATGTGTAACAATTCACGAGATACGACATCGGAGAACATTATGCCTGCGGAAAAGATAGAAGGTAGAAGAAACAGACTGAACAAAATTAATGCTGAATGCTTCAAGATGGCCACATCACCCACCAAGTGCCAACTGGTCTAAACTATATAGGTCTAGCCCTGTATGCCCAAAACGCCTGAATGCGTTGAAGAAGGTCCTTTACTTTGTTTACATTACTCTACTTTACGATGACAGCATGAAGGAATAACACGAAGAGAATAGAATCTAGAAGGTCAAGCAATGCGATCTGTAGTGAACGCCTGCGCCATCTGGCAAGGCACAGGATGATGATGAAACAATGTAAACACATTTTTCTTTTTTTGTCATGGCAGTATAACATGATATAGCATCAACTGTTCACAAAAACTCAGAAGGTATAATCTCTGGCAGAGGAGAACACGGCCGACACATACACGTTTTGGGAAGCTTGACCATAAGGGTAGTGTTCATGTAGCCAATTTCACCATGAGGTCTGGGGCACCTGATCGTAACACTGCTGTTAGTATAATCTATTGGCTTGCAACAGGTGCAGGATCGCTGAAGGATTGACGGCGCTTCAATATCGGTCATGGTGTAGCTTCTACAGGTTCCCGAACAGACGGGAACTAAGGCGATTCTGGGTATGCAGTTTTCGTGGCGGATTGTCAGGATGGCGGGTCGGTTGGTGCACCTCTCTTCTGCTGTTACTTCATGAAGGGACAAACTAAGGAAAGCCAAGAGGATATAAAACAACATTACTGATTTGTTGAACCAATTCTTGTGATTGGAGATGTATTTGGAAGACGTGCTTGTTGTCAAGGTACACACCTGGAGAAGAAGTAAATAAACACATTAGTCTAAAGTGTATTCTTGAGAATCTTGCATTATAATTTTTGCACACAAAAACGTCAGTGTGTTTTTATAATGTCATAATGGTGTGTTACATTTCTCACAGCTCAATTGTTTGATTATGAGCTTCGCAATGCTGGGGTGCCAGGTTTTATCTCAACTGCCGACGATTTGTCTTGCGTTGGTTTCGCCATTGGTACAGAGAGCTGGCCGTCTAGAAAGCAATGACAAACTACTGAAATTAAAATTTGCCTAGAAAAACCACAACAGCCGATAATGCTGGGGTTGGTTCTGCAAAATCCTGTAAAGGATACGCAACTAACTGTATAATGAGATGACATGGCTGGTTCCATTTCTTGCCCAGCTTTTTACCTCAGGCAATTCCGTTCTTTTTTTTTTGGGGGGGGGGGGCGCATGTGGGGGTTGGTGTAATAATATTTAATATTATGAGGTAGGTAGCTAGGTAGTTGTACCCCACCAGTGCATCACACAAGCGATAAACACCCGGTGACACAAAGTGCCACCATGAGGATGAGTATTAGAGAGGTCCCAGAAACCCCTTTCAACCGTTAGGCCATATCTATGGTTAACAGATAAGGGCGAGACGATTTACGTATTTTCTGCATAATGAGTGTGCACTTGCCTATTATGGTTATAGAATGCACTAAAATTATGATACTTTTTCTCCATTCGTGGGGTGCAATTTTTCGTTATTGTGAGACCCCACCCTGTGTGTTACCGGGGACACTAATATAATCCAGCCTGTGTGTTGAACGGCGTTTCTTTGATCTTTTCACGGGTGATCCTCGTCCGAATGGCTGAAATGTGGTTCACCGGGTGTTTATCGCACAGTTTGATGTTCTGGTGGGTAAAACGTCATTCAGTGAGTCATTACAACTATACGCAAGCCTTTCCCTCTTAGTTTTACTGCTATAACTAACACTTCAAAATTAGAACGTGGGTTACTGATGTCGCTGGAAATTTAAGAGTTACAAACTTTATACGCGTTTCTGATAACATGCTGATTATAAAGTGAAGGAACATGCTTATAATAAAGTGAAGGAACATGCTGATCATAAAGTGAAGGAACATGCTTAATTTAAAGTGAATGAACATGGTGATTATAAAGTGAAGGAACATGCTGATTATAAAGTGAAGGAACATGCTGATTATAAAGTGAAGGAACATGCTTATTATAAAGTGAATGAACATGCTGATTATAATGTGAAGGAACATGCTTATTATAAAGTGAATGAACATGCTGATTTTAAAGTGAAGAAACATGCTTATTATAAAGTGAATGAACATGCTGGTTTTAAAGTGAAGAAACATGCTGATAATAAAGTGAAGGAACATGCTGATTATAAAGTGAAGAACATGCTTATTACAAAGTGAATGAACATGCTGATTATAATGTGAAGGAACATGCTTATTATAAAGTGAATGAACATGCTGGTTTTAAAGTGAAGAAACATGCTTATTATAAAGTGAATGAACATGCTGGTTTTAAACTGAAGAAACATGCCTATTTTAAAGTCAAGGAGCCTTTCCCACACCCTCAGACGTAATGGACAAATAGAGCTAGACCTATACTTTATAGACCAATCGGCACTTGATGGAGGATGTAGTCAATATCACGCCAGCCACCTTTACCTTCCAGTAATTTACCTGTTACGCATTTTAGGCTTAGTCGAAATGGAAGAAATTTGTGTGAAAAAAGCCCGGTTCCTCAGGACTTGAACCTACGATCTTCGAATCTGTAGACGTGCGTATATGTGCTATACCCTGGCAGATCTCGTGCTTATAATAGAATGACGTAAATAGGACAGTGACTGCAATAAACTAATATTTTGCGGCTTTGTTGTCTTGTCTGTTGAATTTTTCATTTATAGTCTGTGTAGTATTTATTACTTGGCTGATAAACACTGGCCAAAACGTTTTGTAAAAATATGTTTGTCTTTTCCATTTCCCTATAAAGCTATCTTATCACCTGTTATATTTAGTACCTATTTTATGATGTTGGAAATTGAATTACCCCGAATTCCGCCCCCCCCCCCCTCCATTTTTTTTAAAGGGATTTATTGAACTGCAAATTATTTCCTAACCGAAGTGGTGCCCTAATATAACAGTGCCATTCGGTTGAACGTCCTGGGGTTGGGTGCAGTGTTGACAGCTCTGCCCTGTAAAAAGAAAACTACAACGTTACTGAAACTTCAAGAGGAAATAAGTTTGATTTTGCAAATGAAATATAGCACTCCTATCACATAAACATGAGCATATACAAGAGAAAAGTTACAGTCTGTACAGCACTGCAGAAATGGTGGGGCTGAGAATAAATACACAGAAAATTAAGATCATGACAAACAGTCAAAACCAACAACCAGGGACCATAAGTAACCAATCACTTGAAAATGTAAAACATTTCAAATATCTTGGCAGTGTGGTGTCCCTACTGGGAGGGACAGAGGAAGACATACAGCCAAGCCTGAACAAAGCTAGAGCTTCTTTTGGAAGGATGAGGCAAATATGGAAATCCAACAGTTACTGTAGAGGAACAAAACTCCGACTCTACAAGAGCATCATTTTGCCAGTTCTACTTTATGGAACAGAATGCTGGAGAATGACCAAAAAGGATCTACACAAGCTGTCCACCTTCCACCACACATGTCTACATAGAATTATCAAAATTTTCAGGACAGAGACAATCTCAAACACTAAACTACTTCAATTCACAAATCAAGAACCTCTAGACAGTATGATAACCAAGAGAAGATGGAAATGGCTTGGCCACGTTATGAGAATGAATCCTGATATACCTGCCAAAACAACTCTCACATGGATACCAGTGAGAAAGAGAAAAAAGGGGCCCCCAAAAACAACATGGAGACGAACGATGGAAGGTGACCTAAGTGTGGCATCTTTGACACGGAAAACTGCATTTAAGATTGCACAGGACAGGAAAGCATGGAAAGTCCTCTCTGAAGCCTCATGTGCCACTAGGCATAACGAGAACTGGTGATGATAATGATAAATACGGTTGAACAGGGTTTCTTTGATTTGCTCCGGAGTGATTCCCATCCACAGGGTGTTAATCCTCCTGCCAGCAATCTATGAGAGGAACAATGACGACCATAGGCCATCATGTATACCAGACAAGACGTTCTGTTGATGACTTTTTTTTTTTTACTAATGCTGTTATTACTGGAGAATTGTTTTTTAATGTTTTCTTGTTTGGCTTGCATATTTTTAATTTGTAACCAACGGAATACTAAACTTTTGCTTCCATGTTTCTAAATATAGTAAAGAGAATGTCACTGATTTTATTAGTTGATGTTATCAGTTGCATGCCCATTGCGAAAGTTTTCCTCGATCCTTTTTCCAGTGAAAAGGGTCCTTTACTTACTTACCTACATTACTAAATGGACTTTTTACACCACTGGTTACAGAAGGCTGCTTTACAAGACGTCTCAAACCCAGCCCTGAGTTTGTTGCCTTTTTTGTGGTTTATTAGGTCAGTTTACTTCCAGTAGTTTGACAGTGTTTTATGGATTGTCGACAATCATGTTGTGTGAATAAAGAAGACACCAACAATAGATTGCACAATTTATTGCCTGGTATATTTCGTTGTATCTCGCCAGGTGCATACTGTAGTAAGTAGTAACAACTGATTAAAATGAAGCGAAAAAAAATGAAACCTAGCAACTGAAACACAAAACTGACTACTTTCAAAAACTGTTTGTATCACTAGGGTTACTGCAATGTGAAGAGAATGTCCTTTTGTCTGCATAATTATGGACTAAACCGGCTGATTGCTTTGATTGCCATATACTCAAGGGGCATAGGGTGTTGACATATCGCAAAGGGCTCTGCTACCAAATCGTCTTCAGCTGATGGAATCCGGTATACCCGTTTTATGAAACTGTGTTCTAACCCAAACCCACTATATATGGGTTTTTTCTTGCCTCACTATAACCATGTTAATTTTGATAATAGTCGTTTGGTGTACGGAAATTGCAACATCATATATTGTAAACAAGCTTTAAAAAAACGTTAGTCATCTGAGCATTAACAAATACTTAATTTGTAACTTTCACGCAATAATTGTTGAAGACTAACAATGCAAATTTTCTTTACATTGAGACCTATCCTGTAATTCGTCATAGATAGTCCAGTAAATGTGTAGACTGTATGTTTGAAGCAAATTCAAAGCATCACTTCTAAAGTTAAAGCATGTTACTTTTTAACTACATAGTGTCCTAATACAGTTGTTTTCTACGACTGAAAGGAGATTTGGATTCATTTCTACTGAATTCGCATACTAAGAACAGCTTGCGTCAGTCTCTGGTTGTCAATCTTTCAGGCAGCAATCCCAGGGTGGGTTTTATTTTTAAGAGCTAAATCCGCATGCGCGCTAAAGAAACAAAATGATTTAGTTACTCAGGGTAACACTGCAGAAGCATACAAAAGTTTCAAAACACTGAAGTAGATTTTGCTTACTGTCCTGAGCAATGAGTCCTAGAATTTGGGAAGCTTTGATGAAGACCCTAATCTTACAAAATTAACAATGGGTGCTTTTGTATGCTTCTGCAGTGTGACAAAGTTCTGGCAATGAAAGAAAGTAAACGACATTTTATACCATTGGTCATCTGGCATTTGGTCAAAGAGTAAAGACGCTTCTCCGCGCTATTAGGTGTTTTGTGTGTGTAGTGCAAGTTGTATATTGTATAGACCAATCAGTGGGTAAAGAGGGCGGCATTATGTTGGCTACCTTTACTTTCAAGACTTTACTTGGTACCCATTTTATGCTTGTTCGATCGAAACGCCCTAGGTCAATTAAAAAATCTGTTTCGAAGTAAGATTTAGCACCAAAGTGTTGTGTACCATATCTCCTATCTTTGATTAAACCTGTTGCTACCTTGGCTAAAGAGTGACCCGGATAGCGAATGTTCGGTTAACGAAGACATTCTTCGTTGTTTGTC